CTAGCTAGCTAATAGTGTTCGCGCACAGTCATATCCGACCCTTGTTATAGCAACAGCGGCGGATGGAAGTCTTTTTTCCAGTGATGACTGACTTGCACTTTGCACAGCACTCTGCCGGCAACGAAGAACACGGGAGAGAAACAAACGACGGCGGCAGAGACGGCATTACCTCCCACCAAGAGTGTCACTGCTGACTCTCTGTGTTGCCTTGTCTTTTCTCACTCTTGTCAAGTGGAGTGGTCGCAAAAATGAGAGAGAGAGAGAGAGAGAGAAAGCACATTGCCTCTAGGCAAGATGATGATGATGTTGTCGGGAAATGGTGCTGTCCACGAAGTATCACTGTGTTGTCCCTTTCAGCATCTCATCTGATCTGGAGCACAGTGAGGAAGTGAGTATCTTGCACTATCACGCATTTAGCAGCAGCAGCGGCAGCCAATTTGAGTGTGCCCTAGTCCCTTGGCCAAAATTTTAAAATCAGCACATTTAATTTGTCCAGTTGTCTGCTGTTTGTTTTGATGCCAAAGGAAGCGCGCGCTGATATATCAGTTCACTGCTTCTCCGGTTTCAGTTTTGTCTGCTTCAAAGTGTTTTTCAAAATCAAACATCACTGTGATTTGAACTGACGCAGATGCTCTGGCCGCTGCTGCTGCTGCTGCTCAAAATAAAGCAAAAGTATGCCCGCAAGGTCTGCTGCTGCTGCTGTTGCTACAAAATCACTCACCACAAGAGCATCAAAAGATGAAGAAGAAGAAGAAGAAGAACAAAACAAAAACATCAGCAAATGTTGTGCGATTGCTAATGATGAAGAGAAAAAAATGCCTGACTCTAGAGAGTTTGAAAGGGGAAGGATGGGTAATTAGATTAGGGGAGGCACTGCACTGACTGAATGACTGGCATCGATAGGCGATGATTGATGGCATTTGGGAAATGGTGATGATCATGATGATGCTAACTCTTCGATTCAGCTTGCTCGATTCGATTCTGAGCTGACGATTTTGTAGCGAGCACTCTTTGTGCCTAATGGATTGATGGCCTCAATTGAGTGCTGAGAGGGCCTTTTTCTTCAACCAAATCGATTGCTTCAGTCTCATTTCCATTTTGCTGATGCTAGGCACTTTTTTCTCCCTCTTACTGTCAACTCTTCTTCTCATATGCTAATCTGCGACTGCACTAGTCTTAGGCAATTAAGTTTAATTGTCATTTCTCACTTCTTTCACTTCTTTTTAACTGACAAACTGTTTTCTTTTTTTTCTTCCCGTTTCCGCAGAGCCACTTCAATTTCATTCCCGACCGCTGCCAGAAGTTCCAGGCCAACAGCAGGATTCCTCTGAAGACTTTATGGCTATGGAACAACAACAACAGCAGCAGCAACAACATGCCTTTCAATCTCGACAGCTACTTTCCTCGTCTCAGGAGAATCTGCTCGCCTCCTTTGGCGGCGGCGTCGGCGGCGGTGATGGTCAGGGCAACAACGGCGGCAACGACCCAGCCGAATCGCTGCGGCACATCTACGTGGCACTGTACGACTTCAACAGCGGCGGCGAGAACCAGCTGACGATTCGAAAAGGTAACGAGAAAACTGCTGCTGCCTTTTTTGCTGGCTTTTCTGCTCCACTTTCAATTCTCCCGTGAATCAACGTTGCGGGAACGTTGGAAATATGATTTTTTTTTCATTTAGTAGGAACAGTGGGCACAGAAGCGAGCGAGCGAGTGATGTGCAGGGGCAGTGGAAACGTTTGCTCAACGTTTGCTCCCTCTCCCTCGCACATTTCATCACCGCGTTCTTTCTTTTTCCTTTTCCCTGCATCTGTGTTCTCTTAGACGACGCACTGACTGACTGGTTGGCCTAGTCCCACCCGTTCAGTGCTGTAGAGGGCACCCTGAAGAACTGCAGTGGTGGTGGTGGTGGTGGCCAATCTGTGCTGCTGATTAGTCACGAGAGAGATTATTGCTCGATGATTGTCTTTAGTGAGTGAGTGAGTGTATGTGTCCTTCTGGGCCCCTCTCCCTCACTCCGTTTGCATACTGTCCCCACACTTTTGCGACTAATGACACATTAGCTGTGTCTGTCTCTCACTGTTTGTTCTTCAGATTGGCCACCACTGGCCTGTGACCTTGCCGACGACGTCGACAGCGACGTCTCTGTTCGCCTCCGTTGCCTTTGCTGTTTTCTTTAGTCACCCCTCAGTTCAATGTTTATCTTTGACTTTCTGACTGGCACACAGAATAGCACAGAGCAGCAGCGGTTTTTGATCCAGTCGAAGTAGTAGTCAGAAATGTGAAATGAAGCAAAGGACGAAGACAAAGACAAATGGTGGCAAAAATTCTTTCTCAAAATGCATTTTTTTCTATCCACATTACTAATCTGTTTGTCTTTCTCAAACAGGCGAACAAGTGCGCATTCTCTCCTTCAACGCCACCGGGCAGTGGTGCGAGGCGGTGTCGCGGAGCGGGCAGATCGGCTGGGTCCCCGAGGCGTACATCACCTCGGTGAACGTCGACCAGCACAAGTGGTTCCACGGCAGTATCAGCCGGAGCGAGGCGGAGCAGCTGCTGAGCAGCGGCATCAACGGCAGCTACCTGGTGAGGGAGTCGGAGTCATCGCCCGGGCAGAAGACCATCTCGCTGAGGTACGACGGCCGCGTCTACCACTACCACATCAAGATGGACAATGGCGGGGGAGGTGGGAGTGGCAACAGCGGAGACAGCGGAAATGGAGGTACGCCCACTAGGCGGTACTTTGTCCGGCCGGAGTGCAAGTTCGCCACCATCGCCGAGCTGGTGCACCACCACGGGACGCAGCAGGACGGCCTCATCACCATGCTCCTCTACCCGGCCACGAAGAAGGGCGGAAGTGGGCAGCAGTGGACGGCGGGGGCGGCCGAGCCGGACGAGTGGGAGCTAAACAGGACGGACATTGTGATGAAGCAGAAGCTGGGCGGGGGGCAGTACGGCGACGTCTACGAGGCCAAGTGGAAGAAGTTCACCGTGGCGGTGAAGACCCTCAAAGAGGACACCATGGCGGTGAAGGACTTTCTGGAGGAGGCCTGCATCATGAAGGACCTGCGCCACCCGAACCTCGTCCAGCTGATTGGCGTCTGCACGCTGGAGCCCCCGTTCTACATTGTCACTGAATTTATGCCCTACGGCAATCTGCTGGAGTACCTGAGGAACGCCGATCGGGAGACCCTTTCCGCCCTGGTCCTGCTCTACTTTGCCACGCAGATCGCCAGCGCCATGTCCTACCTGGAGGCGAGGCTCTTCATTCACCGAGATCTGGCCGCCCGGAATTGTCTCGTCGGCGCCGACTACCTGGTGAAGGTGGCCGACTTTGGCCTGGCGCGGGGCATGCGCGCCCTCGGCGAGGACACCTACACGGCGAGGGCGGGGGCCAAGTTTCCCATCAAGTGGACGGCACCGGAGGGCCTCGCCTACAACCTCTTCACCACCAAGTCGGACGTCTGGGCCTTTGGGGTGCTCCTCTGGGAGATTGCCACCTACGGCATGGCCCCTTACCCGGGCATTGAGCTGAGTGAGGTGTATCACAAGCTGGAAAATGGCTATCGGATGCAGTGTCCGGACAACTGTCCGCCGCCGATCTACGAGCTGATGCAGCGGTGCTGGGCCTGGGAGGACACCAAGCGGCCGACCTTTGAGTACCTGTACGCCTCGCTGCTGGAGATGTACCACAGCTGCTCGAATGGCTGGACGGAAGCCTTGGACGGAAGTTCGCCGTCGATGCTCAACTCCAGCGGTTTTGAGCAGTCGAACAACAACAACAACAACAATGACAGTCCGACGGCGGGCAGCGGCCACTCAGGCAGCGGTTTCGGATCGGGGACGACCGGCTTGGGAGCTACCGGTTTCTCCAATGCCAATAATGGAAATGGAGGTGGTGGTGGTGCAACAGGTGGCTCCAGTGGTGGTAATGTCCCCTACAAGAAAATGTCCGGCAGCAGTCCGAACATTGCCGCCCACCTTTCAATGGCCGCCGCCGCCGCCTCAGCTACTCCTTCTGAAGATTGTGATATGACCACTACTGCCACCACCACTAATGGTGGCCAGTGGCCAGTGAGCTTCTCTGCCACCACTGCTACTCAAAATGGCGGGCAAAAGACGTCAAAAAATTCAGTTGCGATGAGGAGGAATGGTAGTGGTGGTGGTGGTGGTGGTAACGGCAGCTCAAATGCGATGACCNGTGGTGGTGGTGGTAACGGCAGCTCAAATGCGATGACCGCCGCCGAGTCGAACCGCATCATGCAGTCGCACCTGCTCAGTAAGCTGAAGCAGGCGCCGACGCCACCGAAGCGGACGAGCTCTTTCAGAGACTCGACATATCAGGACAAGCAACCAGGTAGGACGATTGGATTTTAGGTTTTTTTTCAAAGACTAATTTCTATCTTTTTCAGGAGACGAGGACATTTTGAAGGGCGCCGAGCAGGCGATGAACGGCTTCGGCGAGAGCCTCAGCTCTCTGGACAAGGCGAGCGACTTTGGCGGCTCCTGTCTTGCCTCGCCCATGCTGCCGCATGGAATGGGCGGATCAGCAGGGGCTGGCGGTGAAGATCAGCTGTACAGTCTGTACGGCGGCTCGGACCAAGACCAGCGCTATCCCTCGAACACCATCTCCTCCACCTCGTCGACGCGCTCCAATGGCGCCCAGGCGGCAGGAGGCAGCTCAAAGTTTGGTGGTGGCAAGCAGCAAACGGGAAACCTTCTTTCGGTTGGCGGGGGAAAAGGAGGCTCAAAGAGCTCAAAGTCAAAGACCTCGAAGCAGCA